TTTGAGGAAGTGGATTAGACGCCCAAAATTTGCTTATACGCAATTCCAGGTTTTTTAAAGCTTCAATCAATTTCTAGTTATTGACTGTTTGTTGTGTAGGTGATGGACCTTCACAATTTTTTTTCTTGAGCAAGGGGTCAATATCAATTTATTCTATGATGATTGGCTAGTTAATTAGGTGTATTGAAGCTAAAGATCTATCCAAAGTTACTTCAACAGTTGTTTAAAACTTCATGTGGACTGATATCGTATCCCATTGTGATTATCCGACAACAATTTACAGCTGGTCAACAAGAAAGTAAAATAATTCCTTAAACTCGAGGAAATAGCTATTTTAAATATCAAAAGGAGAAATTATCCACTAGTCAAGGAACTCTATTTTAAATATCAAAGGAGAACATATCCAATAATGAAGAATGCCTATGACCTAGCTTGATCCTTGACAAACTCATAATTCAAGCATCTTTTTTTGCGAAAGAGAAGTGAAGAGGCGAGCCACCACGTTCTATGATTTTGATGTTCATGAATATACTTTTGTCCAGGATATGTCCATTTTCAAAATGTCAATGTGACAACTGAACAATCAATTCTTCAGATGTTAAGATACATTTGTGAGGGACCTAACATCATAAAAAAACAAGGCAATATCAAACTTGATTTGAAGATGCACAAGAAAGGACATTATGAGAATGGATGACTAGAAGTTTGTAAATGTTTTGGAAGAAATACTTTGATATTGCAAAATACAATGTTTAGAAAAACGGTCCGGGCCAGAACGGTCGGTTCGGCCACTAACCGTTGGCTGGTCAAGTCCGGAATATATGAAGGATCCATTTAGTCCTTGAACCCTTGTGAATCGCCGGTTCAACCCACAAGTCAGAGAACCAATTTAACCTTTTAAAAAAAAATTAAATATTATTTTATTTTTTTCTTTTTGGTTATAGTTCCTACGCGCCGCCCTACGTTTAAGAAAGGCAAAATCATTGTGACACATTCCAAAATGCAAGCTGCCTTATGGAAGATAGTAATTTTTTTATAAATAGAGCCACTCAAAAACATTTTATTTATTTTTAATATTTACATGATTTATTTATTTAGATAATATTTAAATAATTATTATATTTATTAATAGTTATGTCATCTGGTTCAACCCTTGTCAAACCAAGGGTTGATGTCTGGCCCGGTTTTCAAAACCTTGGCAAAATATAATCTTCTGCTATTAAGTATGTATTTGATAGATTTGGGGAAGTTGTCCATGAAACTTGACAATTTGACACAAGTTTATTTCTAAAGTGAATACTTTGTTTTCTATTTGAAGTCTACCAACATTTTAGAGTATGAAAATGAAAAGGTGGCTGCAAATATTAAAATGAAATGATCTCCCCTCCTTATGCATTCAAATAGTTTACCCCTACAGTTACTACTGGTGGACATGTTGAAACCTTTGAGGCCACTCTCTCGATTGATGATTTTTCTCCTTTCTATTGGCATTTCAAAAGGGAGAAATTCTCGGTCAATTTCTTCAAATTTCTCTCAAACCTATCTCATCTGGATTAATGAATTTTTATTACCATGACAGTTTATAAGCTCCCACATTCTCATTGATACGTAAATGTTAGTTTGAGAATTTGTTAAATGATAGCTTTAAGTAGGAAATTTTTTTTTGGAAGGTCATAATAAAGAATATAGGAAATTATATATGGATTGACCTAAATAAAAGGTAAAGTGGGGTTAATTTTAAAGAACATGGATAGTATTGCTTTACCAAAAATTTTTTGATAGAATTTTTAGACTAAAATGATTTCAAATGGTATGAAATAATCATTTGGTATTAATATTAAAAATAAAGATAATGTTGTTAATTATCAATTAATTAATCATAGAAATTATAAAATGAAGCAACGAGAATGAGTAGTGAAATATAAGTTTATAAAAATTACGTGAAATTTGAAGAACAAATTTGATTTCATGTTAAGATCTATTTTGAAAGTAATTTTTGTATTAATAGAATTACTGAAATAATAGAGAAGAGCTAAAAAATGACCTTCATATGATTTTTATTGATCATGAGAAGACATATAATCAAGTACCACGTGAATTGATTAATGTATTTAAGATATAAATGTGTGCCAAAGACATGTTGATGTTATTAAACATATAAAGGATAGTGCACTAACTAGTATCATAAATAGTCGTGGAGTGTCCCAAGAGTTTCCAATTATCAAAAGTTTGCATCTTTGATTATTAGTGAGGTCATATCTATTTTTTATTTATGAACATACTTGAAGGATTTTTGAAGCTTGATGATTTGTTTTTTTTTTTTCATTTTTTTGAATGATAAAGTTTTTATAGGTAACACATCACTAAAATAAGCGAAAAATTTAAAAAACCAGAAAAAAATGTTTAGAAAATAGATATCTTATCATTAGTAGAGTAAATAATGAATGATATATAATTTAAATTGTTTTGTTTTTATCACTATTACATAATATTATTGCAAGATTAGGTGATACCTAGTTCTAATAGGTCTATGTATTTTAAATTTATTATAGAAAAATGGAAATATTGATATAATTTTTATGTTACGATTGAATAATTAAAATGAAGAAGTGCCTCAAAAAATTTGAATGATAAGAGGATATAGAAGAATTAAATTTTGTTAAATCACAATAGGCCTGATGATTTTGTATGAATTCGAATGTTATCTATAAAAGGTTATTAATAGCCTTAGGTTGGTGGTGCTAAAAATGAGAACATTAAGATATATGTGTGTCCAAGTCAGAAAAGATAAATTAAAAGGTGATTATGCTGAAAGAAAAGTTGGAGCAACATTTATTGAAGATAAGATGACTAAAAATAATTTGAGTGATTTCAACCTTTGAGGGTATATCAATTAGATGATGTAATTAATGTTAGTGGAATACAAAGGAAATGGGATTAGGCCTAAAGCTATATTAATAGATTTTGAAAATGATTTGCGAATAAGATCTGATGCAATGCTCAATAGTAATGAATGACAAAATTATGCTAGATAATGCCATCACCAAATTGTTTGGATTAGGCTAATGGTGAAGATGATGGAGGAGTTGAGGGTTGATGGGAGAGGAGAGAGGGAGGAGGGGTGGTGCTACCCTACAAACTCATTTTCTATGCTTTGAATTGAGCCTTGGGCAATATTATAATGGAGAGAGAGAGAGGCCTTCATCAAAATTTAAGAAAGTGATAAACTGAGGAGAAAACCTATTTATTTATTTTCACATGATGTTTGCACTCTAAAGGACTTATATTTATAGAAAATTCGGAATATGTATCCAAATTCATACTGATTGTGTAATTTTAATAACCTTTACTCTAAATATGCTTGCAACCATTTAATTTATAAATGGTCCTTTAAGCTAATGGATAAGACACCTCTTTTATTTCAGTACTTAAAATGAGGCAATAAAGATGACCATGAGTTTAATTTAGGGGTTTTTTGATTTGCTGAAAAAGGAAGGCAATGTAAAATGAATGTAGTTTTAAAGTAATATATTGTATGTGAAATATTTTAGAGTTAATTTGTTCAGTATAAATAAATATAAGATTTTCCATTTTCTTATTTCTTTTGAAGGCAAACAAATTCAATCTTAAATAAACCCGTTAAGGTTAGCTGTGTTGTAGAGGGTTGTGGCGGCCAATGGGCAACAAATAAGTGGTGCATGGCTGCTGGCGAGTGGTTGGCGGCAGACAGTAAATAGGCGGTGGCAGATGGTAGCGGCACAACCTGCTGCTGCAACAGGTGGTTGATGTCCGGGGTGGTGATGTCCGGGGTGGTGACTATCGGCGGGCTGCCTATGGCACTTTACACAAAATATTGTATTTGAAATTCGTTGAAATACAACAAATTCCAAATACATTGGAATTTTATATTGCATTTGTTTTTTCTGACCAAATACTTGGGCTTTTAAAACTTTTGAAAAAGGAATGCAATGAACTCCTTTTGCTGGGGCACATCCTCCTGCTGCAACAGGTGGTTGATGTCCGGGGTGGTGACTATCGGCGGGCTGCCTATGGCACTTTACACAAAATATTGTATTTGAAATTCGTTGAAATACAACAAATTCCAAATACATTGGAATTTTATATTGCATTTGTTTTTTCTGACCAAATACTTGGGCTTTTAAAACTTTTGAAAAAGGAATGCAATGAACTCCTTTTGCTGACGACCAAACAACCCCTAAGGAAATATTCTCTCTAAACTTTTCTAAAATGGTATATGGTTATTTTTAAATCTCCCTCTTCTTTGATTGTTGGCCACAACCTTCATTCTTTGAATTCAAATAGTAATTTTTGAGTAGTTTTATATAAATTTATATTTGCAAACTTATCCTTATGTAAAATTTCGAAGAACCTTCTTTGATTAACCCCTGGATTGTAAGATTTATTTAAGCTCCTAGTTGAATCCCATACTTATTTGATCATCCAGGTCACTAACTTGCGTTGAAATTGGCCCTTTTTTCCCCTTTTTTGACAAAGAAGCAGAACATCTGTTTTATTTTGTCCAACTTGCCATATTTCCACAGTGTTGGATTTATTGCTCCTAATTTTTCTTTTAAGATTGGAGAAGAATCTATGTTTTCATACGTCAAGCCACATGCCAGACCCCTAGTCATGAGAGTTTATGGGAGTTTTGATGCTTTTCCAATTGCTAAATTGTATGTTTAAGTTTCTTGCTAAATGATGGGTTGCTAAAGGAGCTTTTATTTGGCAAAAAATTGAGGTCTGTATTGTTGTAGATGTTCTATTTTCTTTTTGCTGAATATCATTGTGCTAAGTGACCTAGATTTAATGCTACCAAAATTTGCTTCAGTTCCAGTGCCAGGATTAAATGGTCATGTCAATCAAATCGAGCTGCTTTGTGCATCTTTTTCATGACAGTGATGTTTGAAAGTGTCCTTTTGTTTCCTTGCTAGAGGTTTTGTCTGTTCTTAATTCTTATATATGTCTTTTACTACTTGTAGGGAACATTGAAGGAGTAACACTAGTAACTTCTGAGTCGCTTACTTCTGTCAGTCAACAAGAACCTCTTCCATCGTTTGATATCTACGAGCAATCCAAATTTGAGGCTAGTGTTGCAATCGACTTTACTGCAACAGAATCAGAGGTAGCTGAGGTCAAGGATCCTTCTACTGTTTCCACAGATATGCAAATAGATATGCCCATGCAGAATTTCCTTCCACCAACTGTAACGACCAAGTGCCCAGAAGAGCTTCAGGTTATTATCTCTTTTTTTCGATCTTCTAAAATTGTCTCTTGAGTTGTTAATGTTTATGAATTATTGCATATATAGATGATTTTTTTATTAACAGTGAAAAACATATTTTTGACCATGCCCATGCATAGGATGGTTGTGCTAGTGTTAGAAATTTGAAGACAGATGGAATTTGGCTTATAATTGTGCGATTTCATTTGTCTTCCCACTAAATTTTGCTATTTTTAATGCCTACTTAACACCCCCTTGTTGTTATATTTATGATTCCAACTACATTTTATATCCTGTTGAAAGGCTTAATTCTATCTCGCTTGCTCTTTACATGTTCATGCTATGAAAACTTTATAATGGTGGTCAGCAGCTTCTGACTAGAAATCTACTTACTATCCAGGTACATGAGGTCGATATTATGACTCTGTTCCTTTTAATGACAAATTTATAATTTATTTATTATTTTGTCAAGTCGTGGAAGTGGATGGCCCGAGTGAAAACATGGTGGAAATGAGGATGCTTTTTACTGTTTGGCAGGGAAATTGTTTTTGGAAACGGTGTACAGGTGATTTGATTTAGCTCTAGTCTCTAAGGTGATAGATCAACTTCCCCACTTAACAGCTTGTAATTAGATGTTAAAGTTTATCAAGAAATTCTTATAGAAATTGCCTTGTAATCTACTACATTTGAACAGATCTGTGTTTGTTAATGTTGAAGAGTGGATCTGTTTTATTGATTTGAGATGTTCTAGGTTCTAAGTATTTCTTTTGATAACTAGTATCAAATGTTGATTTAAGTGCCAAGGCAATAGACATGTACCTTTCTCAGGGAAAAGCTATATGGTATAAAACAACTATTGGCAACTTTTCTTGAAAATTGAAAACGGTCAAATTCAATTTAAGCAAAAGAGATTTGCTTTTCTATTACAAAATAATGATGGAAAAGTCAAGGTTCACGAAGAGACAAATGATCAAATTTTAAAATGCTTGTGGAAAAGGAAGAGAATCATATAGTAGCACATTATATAAAATTCATGCACATTTTTAATCAATAATAAAATAACAATAAGGAGGATGAGGAAAGGGGGGAAGGTAGGAAGAAGGAAGGAGTCATTGAAAAACAAGCCTTACATTTATATGAGGATATAGCCTTTCAATTGAATTCTAATTTTCATATTTGATCGAGGAATTGAATCTCAGAAGAATGATCTATACTTATAATTGACTTTTTTTTTAAAAATTTTCACCATGGACTTGTATTCTTTACATGCTTTAATCTCTATTAGAATACAGCATAGGATTCTAAAATTAATTCTTTTCAAGGAGAAGTTTTTAAAGAAAGAAACTATGGAGGATTGAATGAACTTCTAATAGTTACAATCCAAAATAGGTTGTAATCTCACAAAAGTTACAAATCTTATAAGCTGCTAGCTTATAGGAATTGCCATCAAATTGCTACTCCGGCTCGAGAGAGAGACATTGGAGTGAAAAAAATAATTGAAAAGAAAGGTTCATATTCAACTAATTCAAAAAATTCTAACATTAGACATCAAACCTAAATTAAGGAGTTGTAAAATTTAATGGCTGTAACCATTAACAAAATAATGGTAGCCACATTAATTCTGCCCCTGCCCAATTTGAAAAAAGAAAAACTAATATTTAAGTTGATATTTGATTAGTAGGCGTTGTAATAATTTTGAATTTCGTTTAGAAATATGCAATGGCCTCCCAAGCATTCATGCCTCTCTATCACCGGTGTATTTAATATCCACTATTGATAGCGGGCATAATTTCATCTTTGATCATAGATTCAGACACAAAATCAGGATGATAATCATGGAAATATATAGATGATGCATTGACCAAGCTGAATTTTTATGGTCAAATGGCCATCAACCCTATGAAAACAAGTGACAAGTCATAAGGTCGACTGGATGAATCAACCAACAACAACTGGCTTAAGTGAAGTATGGGCGGTCCGTTGGGGGCCAAACGGTTGGGCTCGAATCATGTCCACGGTTCGTTCAATCCATGTACTGCTGTATTTCAATTAAAATTATTATTTTTTATTTTTTTCTTACCCATTTTTAGATATTAAGACATTTGATTTAGTCTTTTCATGATTTTAGGAATTAGTAGCCTGAATCTACGGAAGTTATAGCTTTTGAAAATTGATGAGGTTTCTTCTCCTTAAATTTAGGAAGTTTTTAGGATTTTGAATTCCTTTTTTATTATAAATAGAAGGTTTTAATAACAACGAAAGCATTTTAAAATCTTTATGAGTTTAGATTTTTCTAAATCCTCTTTCACAGTTCCTCTAAATGTCAACTAATACAAGCAACTGGCGGCCCTTCTCTTTCCTCTCTTTCCTCTATTTCCTCTCTTCCCCTCATTTTTAGCACAAAAAGTGAGCCAACAAGGTCTAGGAAATTGCCAAATGACCATATTACACTCTATGAATACTTGCTTGGTTAAAATTTTCTTGGCGTAATGAAACTTCTGTTGGGATAGGAAAAATTACAGCTTTTAAAGAGGAAACTTTAGAATGAATAGGACGAAATCTTGTCATGTCATCAATTATTCCCTTTTAGCCCTACATCTTCAACTCTTTGATCATTTAATCCAACTTCTGTTTATTTGTTTCCTTCAAAATTAGTTCATTTTTTGTGTGAAACTAAAGGGAAAGGTTGTAAAAATAAGTATTCAATGCATTGATTGTTGATTGAGAATGTATGATTAAATCAACTAATAAATTGGACTAGAAAATGTGCAATATAACATTCCACAGTTTTATTTTTCTAGCGATTATTTTCTTTAGTGTTCTTGAAGGAAACTTTTCTGGATTGAGATGAAAAATCACCTTATCACCATATTTGAATTTAAGGTAACTTCTCTAAATATTTTTAGTAGACTTGTAATTCTTTTAGTTAACCATAAATTTAAAGTGAATATCTTCATACAAATAATCTAACCTAAGTTATGATTCAAAAAAAGTATTGTTCATGTAAGATGGATAAATTACAATACTTGCCAATGGATACATTATATTTGATTCAATGAGATAAAAGTAATGAAGATTAATCTAAAATAAATATTTATTAAATTTCATAATTTCTTTTTTTTTTTGAAAGATCAAAACAGATATATTTCATTCAAATAAGGTGTCTATGGCGTTCAATATCTCTGAAGGTCTTTAAAGAGAAGTAAGCTAAACACATTAAAAGATTTTACATACTGAATTATGTAACCTTTTCTGAAGTTGATATTTTGTGAAGGCAGTTATTTTGAATAATTCCATTAGTATGTTGACATAGTTTGACGTCATCAAAGAAATTTTTTTTCCTAAAATTGTTCCAGACATTAATAACAGAAAATAAAGGAGATATCAACTTTCTTAGGTTGTTGAATTAATTTTTCAATTTTAAAGACATGATAAATTCAAGTTTTAATTCAATCTGAAGTTTATTTATCATCATGGTTTGAATTTCATATTCATTTTTTATACTTAATTTTAGGTTTAGGCGCCTGAATAGGTTCTTGCTGCATATTCTAGTGTGGTTCTTGTTTCAAATTTAGTTTTAATAAAAAATGTAGAATCACTTTATAATTGTAAATCATTTTTTTTATTTAATTTATATTTCCATGAATATTTATGAATTACTCTTTATCGATAGGATCAATTGTTTCCTTAATGATATTGTTGTTTTTATGTGTTAACAAGCTTAAAGTGAAATGTAGATCTTTCTCTAGATACAAGTAGAGATACGACAGTTCTAATAAGAAGTTAATTGTGATATCTTTTAAGCTCTAAAGCTCTGTTGCAAGCTTTTATTTCTTATCTTGAGAGAATTGTAGCTTAATTTTCTTTTTTATTTTTTGTGCAAGAATGAAATCAATATCTATAATAAAAAATCTTTGGGGAACTAATGGTTACTAAATGTTCAAACCTGAGAAAAAATTTAAACACACTATTTTAACATTATTTAAAGTTTTTAAATTGATCTTGCAATTGACTATTCATGAGTTTATATTGTTATTTAAGTTTTTTCATCAAATTAGCCAAGTTAGATATTATTTTAGTTCCAAAAAATTGACCTCTATGAGTAGATCTTATTATTTTTTGTTTTAACAAATTCAATTCTTCAGAAATATACATTACTTCTTTTAAAATTGCTTTTCTAACCTATCTTTCTAATTTGTAATTACCTCGCCCTTCAAATTTAGAAATATTGCTCTTAATTAACTCCATTATTTTTTTTTTTTGAAAATGTTTAGAATTATTCCTAATTGATTGTTTTAAATTGCATTATTTTTTTGTTCACTGTTAACAAATATCAATGTTAAGCTTTGTTTCCTAAAGACAGTTTGTCATAACTTGCTTTGACATCCAATCTAATGTATAGAATGTTCTAATGTTCAGAATTTCTAATGCAGATATTGATACAACCAATTTATGCTATAAACATACAAATTTTCCGGGGAACAAGCTATTATGTTTACTCTTAAGGAAAATTGGAAGTGGTAAAATTCAAATTAGTGAAAGAGTTTTGGCCTTTATATAGGATTTAATGAAAATAAAGTTATGATCAGACAAAAATGCATTAATTGTTGAAATGTTGTCCAAAAAAACAAAGTCTGATTGCCTAAAAATTTGGCAATTCTTCTAGGAAAGTGATTCGAAGAAGAATGATAAGGGAAAAGGAAGAAAGGGGAATAAGCCACCAAAAAGTGAGCCTTTCACTTTTTGAAGGATATAGCTTCTTATAAAATTATCTAAAGTCCCACATTTAATCAGAGAATTGAATTTTGAAAGTGAAAGAATTTGCACATCCAAACCAGTTTATTTTTCACTATTGACGTATAACCAGGGTAAATACATGCTACTTACCTGCAAAAGCCGTAAGAACTATAAGTGAGCTAGCTGTGTAGCTGCAAACTAGGTCCCATATACTGCATCCTACCTGTGTTTCCATGAAACCTAGTATGGTGAAAAGTGTTGGTGTTATTTTTTTTTCATAAAAATGCAGGATTGTGATTACTTGGATTATATTGAGCTGAAGGATTATACGATACAAAACAGCGACAGAAAATGTGATTTCTCTTTTTCTTATTTAAGCTTATTTTTTGGGCATAATTGAGTACTGCATTGTCTATAGACAAGCATGGTGTGTGGTTGCCTTTTTGTTTCATGCATTTTGGATCTTCATACTTGCTCGGATACAGCATGTTCAATGAATCTTGTATTATGCAAAAATTCCAGCATATGCTTGAAGATCAGGTCAAAGCAAATTAAAGTGAGGTCAAAACAGAAAAATGGGTTCTACGTGCTGTCTGCTTTGGACTGGCTGTTGATTTTTTTTAAGTTAATTTTTTTTCCTTATTTCCTATAGATAGGTTTACTTGCTATAATTTAAGGTTCGTACTTGTCAGTTGCATTTATTTTTCTATATGCTATCTACAAATTTCCTTTCTGATTAAGGCCTTTGCCTCGACCGTTGTGGTTGAACCGTTCAGGAAAAAATAAACAAGTTTCTTGCTTATAAGAGGGCTGGGAAAAGTTTCAATGTAGACTTGCGCAATAGGAAGGATTACAGAAATCCAAATTTTCTGCAGCATGCTGTGAGTTATCAGGATATTGATGAGATTGGTACTTGCTTTAGCAAAGAAGTCTTTGACCCACATGGATACGACAAAAGTGACTACTATGATGAAATAGGTCAGCTATTTTTTTTTAATCTTTTATTACATCATCAGATTATCTTATTTTCTTTACTCTTACAGTGATCATAATTGTTCATTTTGATAAATAAAAAATAATGATATCTATCTTTTTGGTACTGTAATTATCATATAGAATTTCAATGAGGTTGATTTAAAATCAATTTGAAATCGACTTTGATAAAAGAAATTATCGAACTTTTTCTCTGTATTGCAACATAATTTTTGTCTCAGATATTTGATAAATGAACGGTTTAATTTTCATGGTTAAACATTTGAACTGAAATTATACAGTATACTTTGTTCTCCAGACTTTTTGTATATTCATCTTTAATTCCCATTGAGTTTGAAAGGCATTCAATGTGGCTGTAGAAAATTTATTGTAGGCTGGCATCTCTCATAGCGCATGATCCCTAGGTGTTCGCATTTTCTGGTTGATTTTGTGTGTGTGTATGTGATTTGGTCTGTACTGTACTTTTGTTTATTTTTATTTTATTTTTCAGTGATGTTTTTATATTTATTGAATTAAATTGAGCAAAATCTGTACTTTTGAGCATGGTTTGTTATTCAAAGAAAAATATGCCTCTACATCCAAACCATATCACAATCTGATCAGGCCGAATGTACATTTAATTTCTCCCAACACTCTTTCCAGTAACTTTATGACCCAAACTTTGGAGTGCAAAAGCACGCACATTGGAATCTGCAAGCCTATATCTCATGCATCTATGGTTTGTAGAAAAATGTTATGACCCAACGCTCTTTCCAGTAACTTTATGACCCAAACTTTGGAGTGCAAAAGCACGCACATTGGAATCTGCGAGCCTATATCTCATGCATCTATGGTTTGTAGAAAAATGTTATGAATCCAAATCCCTTGGATTTCTATCCAAGGATTGTTCTCCTATATTGCCACATCATCATCCTTAGGATTGGCTGAATTTCAAAGCAAACCTAAGGATTTAAGTTACCTTTCATAAACTTTTTTGTGTGCATCCAGCGGATAAGAGGCTTTTGCAGAGCCAGCGGGTCTCTCTACCTTATTTTTATTTTTATCAGTGCAACCAATTATTGCTTAGATTTGTAACATCAGACCATGATGTTGGAATTCCCCGCATATGCAGTTTCAAGGGCATTAAGCCACCTTCATAAACTGTGCCATGATAGACGGATATGCTGATTTTTAGCTGGCCACTATATATTTTCTGATCTTTCCATCAATGGGACACACCATTAATCTCATGCAATTACAGTATATAAGAAACATGGTGAAAGTCGGCTCAAACTTATTTATATGCCTTAGATCTGTATAAAATGTAACAATATTTTTAATTAAAATTTCAATGATCTTGTGCATTGTTTACAGTAGATCTAATGTTGTAGACCATCTTTGAATTTTTTTCGTGGAAAATTAGTGCATATTAACTCTAAAATCGATCTAATATCAGACTATTTGTTTCTTTAGTTGCCATGATACCTTCCACTGCCTCTCAGAAGCATCTATTGATCTTTTATACGGAATTCTCTAAAATTAGATGCATAAAGTGATCCTGGTTGTATCAATATGCTTTTAATCCTGTTTGGTCCGGTATATTTCATTCTCTTCTTTTATGAGGATTGTGATTTTTAGTATAAAATTTATGCTTGGTGTTGCTTTTACTAAATATTTTTCTCTTTTCACTTTTGTGCCATTGGGCGTTTGCCCAATGGTTGAAATGTCATATCATGTGGCTCACATGTGGATTTGCTCATGAGATACTCACTCTTAAATTTTTAATAAGCCTAAAAAATAGTTGGGATAAAGCTAATGTTTGGGATGATGATGATTATGATTTAATTATATTAAAGTTCTTAAAGATAAATATTTGTTTAATAGAAAAAATCAAAATGATTTTATAGAAAATATTACCTGAAGGACTATATTACCGGAAGTGGATCTTGTTGATTAATTTCCAATTTATTTGCATGAGTTTTTTTGGGAGACTGTCATATTATGCCTTTGCATAATGGAATCTATAATATTAAAATACCTAAAGTTAGTATTGTTGGATTTGTAAAAATTCCATTTAAACCAATAGGTTTATAAATTTGGCTTGAGGAGCGATTCCTGCTAGAAAATTAAGTTGTTTTTTTGGGCTTCAATCTAGAATGTATCAGATTTAATGGGCCACCAACCAAGCGAAGCTTGATTCAGGCAAAGAAGACAAATACCTAAATATCTGACGTTTGTGTGGCTCTGATACCAAGATAATACCATTCTAGGACTCATAGAAGTTTTGATAATATATAAAATGGTGTTATGAAAGTTGTAGAATGATAAGGGAAGACTAATATGTGGGGTTTATGTTGTTTTGGAAGGGACTGCAGGGATAAATCTACTATAGGACAGCAGGTTCGAAGTTGTTTGTGCTGTCCGAGCTGAAAAAAAAAAGGAGAAAACTTTGAATCGGCGGCATTAGGGTAGATGTTTCTAAGCAAGATACATACACATCACTTGCAAAAGAAATGAACATAACACTCTAAAGAGCAGAAAACTAAGAATGTCTCCCAAAATAATAACAGTCAACAAAAGTCTCCCCAAAATAAGAAAATAAGAAAATATAAGTAGTTCATTCTCAAAAATCTTAATTCTAATTAAATGACTATTAAATATGGGCCCATAAAGTGACGTTCAATCCCATCTCTCGTTCAATTGCCATATATATAGGATCGCGGGTCCGTGAAATACAGTGGGACCGCGGGATGCTTCCACATCAAAAAGGAATTTAAAATAATCTTTTTTTATACTTTTTTGGGTTGATTTGAAAGATCATTTTAGTGATTGGATATTAAGTGATGTAAAATGCTAGAATTTATGATGGATAGCTAGTTTATGATCTTAACTTGCTTTTAGGAGTGGATATGTGAAGGTATAGGAAATAGTATTAAAATTTAACTTTCAGGTTTGATTGAACGCTTTAAGGATGGGATTGGGGTGGATGTAGCGATGTGAATGGTTGCTTATTGGACTTGGATGATGCTTATGAAGAGGGAAAGTGATGAAAACTTGGAGCATCTGTTGGGCAGGGATGGTAAGCAATTTGAAAAAAAAAGAGAGAAAATAAATTTCGTCAATAAAACGTATTTAATTCGTAGTGATCAATTTTTAAACTTCTTTTATAAGGGAGAGCTACAAAAATCAATTCTCCATCAAACATATCGTTTCATTTTTTTTTTCCGAAGTGGTTAGCATTTTCTCCAAATTGCAATGCATAAATTAGAAATTCTTGGAGGAGGATACATAAATATAGAGTAATTTTCTTGTTTATAAATACCTGTTGATAACTGAAGATTAGGAAGTAGGAACATACTGGATATTTATACAACAACAACAACAACAACAAAACCTTTAACAACAACAACAACAAAACCTTTATCCCGCTAAGTGGGGTCGGCTACATGAATCCTTTTTCTCCATTGCGTCCTATTTAGTGTCATATTTTCATTTAATTCTAATAAATTAAGATTATGTTTTCTTACAATATGCCCAAGTCATTCTAGGTCTACCTCTGCCTTTCTTAACATAAGTCGAATCTAAAACATCCACTCTTCTAATCGGATCATCGGATGGTCGGCGTTTAATGTGAACAAACCATCCAAGATAACTCTCTCTAATTTTGTGTCACTGGAGCTACACCAACCCTATCACGGATATATTCAATTCGCATTTTGTTTCTAAGTTAATTAAATATTAAAATTTTGAGTTCTAAAAGGAGTTTGTTAATGTTACATTGATGAGGTATTAACAATTTTTGGTTTGTGTTTGAGGATGAAATTATACCCTTGGAGGATCGATCTATTTATCATAAACTATTTTTTACTTGACATTAATAGAATTAAGAGTTTGAACTCCCTATGTAAAAATTTTGCTCATGTCTTAAGGATTAAATCACACATAAAATTCTCAATTATATTTTAAGTAGTATTACTTTTTCTGTTTTACTTCTTGTAAAAAAATGCTTCAAGATGGCACCCTTGACTTAAACTCTAGCTACCGAAGGATTAAAAATCATTTCAAATGCCTTGGAATACTTAAGATGCTTAAGGACAAGAGCAGTAGGTAGAACCATAACACGATCTAATGCTTTCTATGCTGCAGTGGTCTAACAACATTTATCCAATTTTAGAATATTTATGATTGGAGCAACGATGGTACCAAAATCTTTAGTGAATCTCTTTTAAAAAGTTGTCAAGGCCATTGAAATTTCTCGAGTGAAAATTTTAGGTGAAGGTCTGTTTAAGATTTTGCTTGAATTTTAGAAGGGCTAGGCTTCGTCAAATGATAAACCCTGAGACATATCTAGTTTGCATAAAGAAATATTTCTTTAAATTGATGCAAGACATTGTCCTTCAGAGTTTCTAAATTTTATTTAAGATGTTACAGTGGTTTGTTGGCTTAAATCAGCATGTCATGTAAGTATAGAACTAGAAATTTTCCGATAAAAGGCTTCAATAAATCATTCATTAGCCGTATTAATTGGCTAGGGGTATTTGAGAATCCAATGGGCATTACAACCATTCATAAAGTATATCAGGGTTTTTGAAAGTAGTTTTTTATCCCTCTTTCGATTGAATTCTAATTTGGTGATCATCAATTTTCAAATCAGTTTTAGAGGGAAAAAAATTATCCCTAAGATCAAATCTAACATTTTGTTTAATAAAGGAATAGATAAGTTATAGTTGACTATGGTTTTATTTATAGTTTGATAATCAACACACATTCGTTATATTCCTTCTTAAGACTATGGGTAGTACGATTGAGACTATAAAAAAATTAAGAATTTTTTGAACAAAGTTTTCCTTAAATAACTCTTTGACTTATTTTTTGATTTCAGTGTGTTCAATGGGATTCATTTTTATAAAGGGAAAGTTAGTTGGGTACTTCAATTTAAGTTAGGGCAAGCTGAATGGCTGTAAGAGGGGGCAATTCATCTGATGGTTCATTGGGTGAAATATCGTTTAAGTCAGAGAGAAGTTGAGTGATCATAGTAAGTATGAGAGTTACTTCCTTTATGTGTAACTCATATAGTGAGGTTAGATAAAAAATTCAAACAAAAATCCCAAATCCTACAGTATATTGTATTGGTCACAAGCAGAACAAAATTTTTGGTACTATGAACTGAAAGGATAATACTATCTTTAATGATAGAGTTTTTTATAACAATTAGTCTTTTATTTTTGATGAGTTTTCTTTTTGCTTCAAAAACATTAAGTTATACTCATGTTTCTTATGCATGCAATTTTTAATGCAAGAAAAAATGTGCCTAAAACTACCAAGCTTTTGATTCCTTAAAATAGTAAGTTATTTTAAGATTTTCTAACAAATTAGTTAGAGGACTAACACATATGAGTCTCTGAGCCATAATATATATATATTATAAAATTATCCTTAAATTTTAAAATTATTTTGAACAAACACAATGAAGATTTCTACATGTTCTCGGAACTTAAATTTAAAGAAACAATACAAAATGCAAATACAAACTCAGGAGCATGAATTTGATTAGAATGCCATACTCTGTAACTTGGAAGCCAAAAACTGTAACCTGAAATCATTAGGACTTTCCATAGTGGATTAAGCTCCTAGCCCCTAAGAAGAGCCCACAAACTGCTGCGCTTCCCAGAGTTGTCCGGCCTATATGCATGATCTTCAACAATCCTGGCACCTTATATCTAAGAGCCTCATACGTTCCATACACAACACCGACAGCTCCGCCGACCGCAATGCCAGTGGCGATGTGCGCCATACAGCTATCTCTCGCCATTTACTGTAGACGACGACGAGTTGGGGATAGAGGTGGCTCAGGGTTTATGCTCATATATATATATACATACATACATACATACATACATACATACATACATACATACATACATACATACATACATACATACATATATGTATGTATATATGAGTGTGCGCTCGTCCGTGCGTCATTGCATCAACTTCTTTTATTCGTTTGCAAGCTGTAGAGGCAAGTCCCATAGATTTATGAGTTATATACTTGTTATTCTAGCTATTAATATGAATTTCATTTATCTTGACAAATGATTTATTTAACTTCAATTTCTTATAGTGGCCTACCCTTGCCAAAATTTTTTTGACTCAATTTGGTCCTTCTTTGATTTGCTCTAATATTCAATATTACGTTGTTGGGTGGCTTTTCGGTGAGGTTTAATGTCTAAAGATCTGATTTGAAGCTTGTGCTGGAATGATGAGGGGTCCGGCTTGGGTTTGGGTTAAAGTTAGAATATCACTCTAAGGAATGAGTTTTTATTAGTGTAAAATGCTGAAATTTACCATGGATGGATAGTTTCGGATGTTCACTTGTGATATAGAGTAAATGGTAGGATTTAGTGGAGTTTGAGATGGTGTGAAGTTGTGGGAAACTAGACTAGAACTCAACTCTCTTGGTTTGATCAAGAGCTTCAATGAGGTGATTGAGGGGTCGTTAGGCTTTAGGTGCTAGTTTGTTGCTCATGAAGTTTTGAAGAGAAGTGCGAGTTTAGAAGTTTTTGGGGCAAGTATTGGGGCGAAGTAGCTTGTAATTTGAAAGAAATTAAGAGAAACATAAAACTTAAGTTTGGTGAAGCTCATTGACACAGATGTGAAGGCTGGACCGGCCAAGACCTGTGGCCAATTGGATCTGTTCAGATGGGAAACGGGAGGCTCGCCTGCCTCTTGGGGTTTGGGAGTTGCCACCTAACAAGATTGGATATCTCTTGTCGCCTAATAGTATTTATATAGGTTTTATGTGTTCTAGGTTAATTTTGGTTTGGTTTTTCTTTCAGGGCAGCCGTCGACATCCCCATGTTTCCTCCTAGGGCTATATCCGATGTTGAGAAGGTGCTTCAGCTGTAACTCGTCTCGAGGTGGTGCATATCGTCGCTCCTTTTCTGCCCCTCTACCCTTACTGTCTGCCTTCCTCCATACCATCCCTCTGCCCAGCTGCCAGGTTTCATTCCTGTCTCTCTTTAGCCACCTGCCTTCGTCCCGGCCATCCTCTGCCATGCTGCCTGACTTCCTACTTTACTCTACTCAGCCACCAACCTTTCTCTTGCCTCTTCTCAGTTGTCAGCCCCGCCCTTCCTGTACTTCAGTCTAGCTGCCAACCCTTGCTTGCCTTGGTGCCACCTCCCCATTCCAATCTCTTCTCTTTCCCCACCTCAACCACCTTGCTGCCTCCTTTCGATCGCCTCCGACCCCAGCCCTAGTTGGTGTTTGTGTCGTCAGTCTTTGATATTTTCTATTCCAGTGTTTTTTGAAACCTTATTTGCTTGTCGTAATAAGAGTAGCATTTCCCGTTGCGATTTGTTTTAACTTCAGTGTCACTCATGGTTATTAAGCTTGCCAGCAAATGAGAAGAAAATGTTCTTTACCAAAATATTTCATTCATCAATAAAAATCACGATGCATTTCATGTCATATTTATAATCATTACATGACACTTGAATTGCTCGTTTTGGAGGGGGAAGATGAATGGAAAGAGGTGGTGGGCCTTACATGCTTCTAAGGAAAAGAAAAAGGCCAAGTATAAAATATAAAATAAATAAAAAAATAAAATGACAAATCTAATCATGGGATTTTTTTCTTGAGGTTATGATGACTTGGATTTCTACTTGTGCTCTTGTAATTGGTTTGGTGGGTTGATCATTTAATATGCTAAGTCAACTATATTTACTGAAAAATGTAACATGATCCAGAGATTAGTTGATTAAATAACTATTGAATGCACATAATTTATGTATATGGGTATACAACGCAAGTTAGTTTTTCACATTGAAGAAAAAAGGAACCCTTTTGATCTTATTGCATTTGATGCTTCGAAAATACCACATTCTATGTGGTGAACCTTTTTTTTAATTTACGCAAACAATTTTAGGACATTTCTTGAATATCTCTTAAGACAGTACATAAATATTTTAAATGTTAATTGAAAGTAATCTTTACCGTTCAAATAATTACCTCAACACAATCTCATATAATTTTTCTGGCTCATTCTAATTGAATATCCAATCAACATGTCTTTAACTCTTATGCTTGATAGAGCTTCGTAATATCAGTTTGTTTTTTGCTGTAGATGCTACATTGCATGTCCTCAAAGCCTGAATATAATATTCTTCAAATTGTTTGCTTTTTTAACGGGGTTGAATGATGATTTCATAGTACCCACACACCTGGATACTTATCAAAAATACCAAATTGTATCTCGTTTTTCTTTTTCAACTCACACACCTGGATACTTATCCAACATACCAAATTGCATCTCCTAGTTTTTCTTTTTCAACTCACACACCTGGATGCCTGTCTTTGTTAGCATCTCATCTCTATGCCCCTTCACTTGAATTTCTTCTCCCTCTACATTTATTAGTATAATTTTGATTTTTGTAATATTTTATTGATATGTTTTGTTTTCTAAAATGTCTTTTTTCTGTTAAACCAAATTTCCTTATTTACATGGTGTTCTGTCCAGTGTTTTTTATGAGATTTGTTCCTGATTTATTCCCACCTGTTTTTCTAATGCTGGTTACTTTAGTAAACAGTTTACTAGCGCAGTTATTTATTCTTTATATGACACCCACTGGTTGGTCTATGAAATTTAAGTTGCTTTACATGTGTAATATGATCGTGCTGTTAGCAAATATTAATTAGGCATTTTTTTGGTTCAAATAAGGGATAATATTTTGAATATTTCTGTCAATAATTTGCTTAATCGTGTTTTATCCATCCTCTTCCAATCAAATTTGATGGAATAGTACAATTATGTTTGCAACTACTTGTGCCTTCAATTACTTTTGAAAAACTTGTACGTTTTTTTGTTGAAAGAGGCCGATTTGAAGCGTGAAGTGGAGAGAAAAGAGCAGGAAAGAAAAAAGAGTCAGAAAATTGATGTAGTTTCTGGATGCACACAACCAGGCGGAGTTCCTCAAGCCTTGAAGACGAATTCTCATATAGCCGGTATCATATCTTTGTCTTTTCTTCTCCTTTTATGGAAAATTTTTGAAGATCCACAGCCAAACTTTATTGATGTCACCAGCTATTTGTATTGTTATTGTATTACAGCTACAGGAATTTCATCTCTTCTAAATAGCTCATTGCCACCAAATCCCACAGCTGGTGATGCTGCAAGGGACAACCGTACAAATAAGAAGTCAAAGTGGGACAAGGTATTCTACCATTAGCACTTCAGTTTTGAAATGTACTTCTCGAGTATTAAAATGAATACCGTTAAAATTGTCTCTTCTTGCCAACTGCATTGCTTCAGGTTGATGGTGATACTAAAATTTCATTGCCTTCTGGAGGACATGATAATCTACCTAGCGTCAGTGTGCATGCAAGTCATTTATCTGCTGCTAGTGCTGGTACTGGGTATAGTGCTTTTGCGTAAGTATTTCTGGAAATGCTCATCTCTGTTGTTGGTGTGTTTCATGTCTGAACATTCTTCTCAGTGATTGATGTTTTTGGCATTTTAGGGTTTGATTTGTGCAGCAGTTATGCGCGTTCTGCATTTCAAAATTGTGTTAGGTCCATAGTTCATGCCAAGTTAAGGAAAAATTTAGCATATTTTTCCGAGGGATGTTCCCTATTCTCCACGAGAATATTGCCAAGTTGATCATGTAGCTTCGTTTATTAATGTGCCAGTTTGTTTTGTGTTGTCAAGTTCCTGTTTTTTGCAACTCTTTTCTTTATTACTGACGTTAAGAACAAGTGTATCGCTAGTGATATTTAATCAGGCAGCCTCAACTAGAACTTGATTTTGAATTGAATAAATTTTTTGGAAAATTACATTAAGTAGCACTCAATTCTTATGTATTTACATATCTCACATCTATACTTTAATATTAACATACGTAGCACTTTGGTGCTTTAAAACTATGCATGAAAAGGTGTATTTCACTTTTAAAAAGTTGTGAGTGGTATTTATGCGATATTAAAGGTTTGAATGCTATGTGTGTAAATAGGAAAGTTTGTGTGCGAGATATGTAAATACATATGATTTCTGCATTATGTATGTAAATGCCCATAAATATTTTAGGTGTGCCTGCTCTCCCAAAGGCAATGTGAAATTGAATAAACTTTTGACTTGGGCTACGACTCTTTAAAATTAAATAGATGAGTTTTCTGACTTGATCTGCAACTCCTTAAAATTAAATAGATGGTTTTCTTGATTTCTTTAAGGGTTTCTTTGAAATGTTATGATTGTCTAAACTCTTTCACATATTTCTAATCCAGAAACATATCCTGATTTATAAATTGTATACTTATGCTTATACATGTTCTTGAGGTCGCATGCACATGCAAGAATATTCATACGCATACACATTTAATTTTCAAGCTACATAGACATAATTTCAAGCTTGCTAGCCTCGGAAGTTGCCCTTATGTAGTATTGCTTGTTGTTCCCTACTCACTTTCCTTTCCATCTACCCACAAAATAATTCTTGATTATCACATTTTCCATCAAATCAATATTTTTAGGGATGTGTATTTAGCTCGAAGATCGTTAATCACTCGAAGATTGATTCAAATTTTGGCTCAAATCGAGATCAGATTGAAATAAATAAGCCGAGCTACGAGCCAAAATTTTGGTTCCAACCCGACTCGGCTCGATATCGAATCGTTAATAGCGTATGACTGTGAATTTAGCGAATTCAACTCGAAGATTGTTAATTGCTCGAAAATTGATTTGAATTTTGGCTCGGATCGAGATTGGATCGAAATAAAGGAGCCGAGCTACAAACAAAAAATTAGGATTGAATTTTTTTTTAGCCGATTTTGAGCCGACCTTGGCTCGGCTCGAAATCGGATCGTTAACAACCTTAAATATAATAGGTAAGTGGCTCCTATTTGAGCGTGCAATTCTCCAGTGTAATTGGCGAGTGAGTCAGCACAATTTTTTGATGAATAGATCCATTCTAATATGACTTTCTTCTTATTAATATAATCTCTCTTTCAATTTTTTTCAATTCTATTTTCACATATTGGAGTACATTATGATTGGCCTTTGTGCGGGTTTTTTGATTTATGGGCTTGAATATTCAACATCCATAAGCATTGACTACAATGATAGCGGAGGCTTATCAGCAAACATAAAACTCCAAGTTAAATTTATATAATGGAGGTGAGAATGATGATTACACAATTAATTATAATTCTCAGTTATGGCTTGCTGATGGAGGCGGGTGATCTTTTATTGAGATAAAGTACTAAAATTTGTTATGCTGTTTGATGTTTGGTCTAAAGATTTAATGTGGAGGTTTTTGTATGATTTTAAAAGATTTATGAGGGAGTGATGGCTACAATATTAAGACTAGTTTGGATTAGGCTAGTTTGACTGATTTGAAATCTCTTTGGAAAAGTGCTTAAGAATGAGTAAATGGCTAGAAATGATTATTGGTGGGTAGCTTATGATGTGTACTTACAATCTGGAGTAGATGAGTGATTTTATATGGGCTTACAATGGTCTGCAGGCTTAGGAAACAAAATTAGGTCTTAATATTCTCTTGCTTGGCCAAGAACTATGAAGAAGAGTTTGGAATGGTTGTGAGGCTTTAGTTGTTAGTTTGTTGATATTATAAGAAGCTTAGAATGTGGATGAAGTGTCATGAAGAGTTTAAGAGCAAGTGTTTTGGAGAAAGGAATAACTTCAAAGAAAAGCAAAGATAATTATCTAATCTCACTAGAGAAGATGCAACACTCGAAGCCACAAAGCACCAAACAACAAAAGAGAAAATATTCATTCAAATATTTCATTCAACAATTGGTCAAAAACATTACATGTCAGCCTTATTTATAGGGATTACAATGATAAAAAGTTAATAAAAGGTTGAGAAAATTTTTGGTGAGTGGTAGGTGTCCATTAATGAAGGAAGGTTCCAAGTTATTATTTTTTTTATGAATAGCCATAAAAGTCTCCAAATTTAAAAATTCAAACATTCTAGAAACTGAAATTAAAATATAAATAATAAAATACAAATTAAAATATTTCTTTTTGATGTAGCTTTTGTGATGTACCTTGAATAGACTCTTAATTTTGTACATTTTTGGGCTCTTGTAAGTGGACCTTCGACTTCATTTAGATGATGTGCTACATCAAATCCCTTGAGCTCAATTGAACTCTTCTTCGTAGAGTTGAAATCTAAGAAGTCTTCTATTAATTGTGGGGCTAGAGTGTCCCCAAATTAACGCAGGTCAGCTATGTGCCTTCAATGAATGGCTTATTCTTCAAACGACATGAAAATAATGATCAACAGTTGTTTCAAGGGGTGCTTCATCGATGATGATACATTCAACTTCAGGAAAAAAATGATTTTACACATGGGGAACTATATCTCCTGCCACAGAGTTAGTCTGAATAAGTGGGGGTTTACTAACTCCTTCATATGATAAAATATCTTCAATATTAATAACAAGATGAATTAATATCTCGATAGGAAAATCAAGCTGATAAGCATCTGATCCGATTTTCTTAAGAATTTTAATGGGGCCATAAGCTTTTGCATGTAATTTCTTAAACTTAGTGGTGTGATACCGCTCAAGACAAATGCGAATCAAAACATAGTTTTTTTAAATTCTCGCGCTGACCTATTATGCTTTGCCTTAGAAGCTTACTTGTCTTTACTTAAAAAAATAATTTACTTTCTTATGGTTTCTTGGAGGATTAGAAAATCTTTGGCTAGTGAAAATGTAGAATCAGAGAATGCATGAGGTGGGAGGTCGGCCGCGTCAATGGGTCATTTGAGATTTTAGCCATAAACAATTTTAAAAGGTGGAGTTTTGATTGTCTTATAGAAATAGTACTATTATATGCAAATTCAGAGGTAGGTAAATGTAAGTCTCAATTTTCTAAACTTTTTTCTAGAAGACATCTTAAAAGATTTCTTAATGTTCGATTGACTACCTCAGTTTGACCATTTGTTTGAGGATGAAAGATAGATGAGAATTTAAATTTTGTGGCTAATAATTTTCAAAAGAGTTTTTTGAAAATATGAAACAATTCAAACATCACGGTCAGACACAATGGTTGATGGTGGGCCATGTAGTTGCACAATTTCTTTAAAGAATAATCTAGCAATAAGGGAAGCATCATTGGTTTTTGAGCATGACAAGAAATAGTACATTTTTGAGAAGCGATCAACTACGATAAATATGCTATCATATCGAGCTGTGTTGGGTAATCCTAAGGTAAAATCCATGGAGAGATCTTCCCAAGGCCTATAGGGTACCAACAATGCAACATATTGTCCAGATTTTTTTTTTTAATAGATTTGAATTTTTTATAGGTCAAACATTGGTCAGCTAATTTTTGAATCTCTCTTTTAATAGAAGGCCGAAAAACTGGCTTTCTATTAAACATATGGTCTTATCCTTTACTCCAACTATTCCTCCAGAATGTTGAGAGATTAAAAATTCTCTGAGTGATGTTTTAGGAATCTAAAGTTGTTTTCCCTCATATAGATATCCCTTCATACCGACAAATATTCTTTGAAGAGACATGTTTATCTATGTTTTCTATATAAATTAGATTAAAGTTAGGACATGTAAGGTACTCATTTTTGATCTGATCAATTCCTAAAATTTTTAGTTCTAGAGAGCTTATAGTTAAAGTCACACTAGATAAGGCATCAACAGGTTTATGCTTGAGAACGGAAGAATAATCTTGAAAAAGTTCAACCCATTTATCATGGCTATGGCTTAACTTTCGTCGAGTATTAATGAATTTGAGGGCATGATGATCTGAGTTAAGAATGAACTCCTTATGTAAAAGGTAATGATGCTAGTGTCTCAAATTTTGAATGACAACATAAAATTCTCTATAATATGTCGAATATCGTTGTTTATCCACATTCAATTTCCCACTAAAGAGTGCTATTGGATGATTTTCTTGACTTAATATTCCGCCAATTTCAATCTCAGAAGCATCATAAGTTATCTCAAAAGCTTTAGAAAAATCACGTAGCCTAATTATAGGGGTAGAGGTTATTAAAATTTTAACATGTTCTAATGCTTTTTGTGCTGCAGGAGTAAAATAAAATTTCTCTAGTTTCAAAATATCAGTTATTGGGGCAACCATTGTACAAAATTTATTAATTTATGTTTTGTAAAAAATAACTAGGCCATGAAAACTGCGGACATCAGTGAATTTTTTTTTGAGGGCCAGTTTAAGATTGCCTGAACTTTTGATGGGTCAGGCTTGATTCCAGTAGTGAAAACAATAAATCCTAAGGAAATCACCTCTGTTTATAAGAAACACTTATTCAAGTTGATGTATAATTATTTTTTCTGACGGTTTCAAATACATGCCTAAGGTGTTTTAAATGGTCAGTTTCACTTGAGCTAAAAATCAAGATATCATCAAAATAGACAACCAAAAATCTTCCTAT